TAGATGTTTAAGAGATACGATAGTAGATGCTATGTATTTGTATTTCTATTTCAACATCATTGACGTCAAAAATTATCAAACCTTCAGAAGAAATGGGCAACCTATTCAACTTTTATCTAATTCATTTCACGAAACAACGCATTGTTAAGTGGTGCTAACTCTCCACCGGCTGTTCAATTCCACAGAAGTCATCCGCATCATGCCCGCGTGGCGTGCGGCGCTAAACTGGTGTAATAATAAAACTCAATAATAGCATGATATAGACTGGCTAGACCCCGTAGTGCCTATACTTCCCTCGGCTCAGTGGTTTCCCGAAGTATAGGAAACCCGTGAGCCATGGGGAGTGTATGCAGCCTGGGGGGTGAGGGTAGGAGAGAAGCAAACCAGCCCTTTTGGCATTTCTGCTGAGGCCATATGCTGAATGTTGGGTAGAGGAAGGGATTCCGTGGTCGACGGACTACCTGAACTCGGTCGGTACGGTACGAGAGTGATAACGGAAGTGGTGCAGCCGTCCAGCAGCTCCGCCAAAAGGGGTAGTTTGCTTACCTCATGGCCCTCTTATTGGATGAGACCAAAACAGCAGTAACAAGCAAAACCAAAACCAATTTGAAAGTTTGGTTTTGATTCTTTATCCTTTTCCAAATCGTAAACAATTTTATACAGGTTTTAATAGGTTTCGCGAATGCTAGAAAATTACAAACCAGTCAACAATCCTAGCGTGATGAAGGATTACAATTACTATTGCCGCTACCACCAGAATGAACTGAACGAAAATCACTGCCATGATTATCATGAGAAAATCCTGAAAACCATTTTCAATTAAGTATGTCAAGATTCGGCTCTGGTGATCGTCGGGAGGGAAGAGGGAGCGGGGGAAGGGGCACGTTGTACAGACTGAGTCTACCTGGAGAGGAGAAACTTCGGAAGGTTCTACCTGTGTGAGCTTTCCGCCCAACGATGCTCTTTGCGCAAAGATGCACCCTGCCCCCCCCCCCCTCGACGATATCAGCCCCCAAGATTCGATCAAAAAGGATGGTACTTTTTGGTCTGAAACCCTTGTAATAAATAATTGAATGATCAAATAAATGAAATAAATGAATAACTATTCCAGGGAGAAAATCTCAAGGCAGTGACAGGAGAGGTGAGAAAAATTGCGAAGATTAGTCCTTGCACTTGATTCAAACTTGCGGTGCTGCCAAAGTGAGACATTTCAAAGCTGCGCAAAAAAGTTTCTGAAGTACTTTGCGGGCTCCACTGTCGTAAAGGGCAGGAGGGTGACCCAAATATCTTCTCAGCTTATACAACTTTCTTCCTCTTGTAGTTCCTGATCTAATCCAATCCACTCTTGGTCAACTGACCCTTCTTTGGCTGTTCTTTGAAGCTGTTAGTTTACTTCCATTAGAGAAGGGAATTTCATGAGCATTTCAGTATTTTAAAGTACAGATTTTTTTCCCTTCTTTTTCTGCCTTCTGAAATAAGAATTGTATTATTCACAAAATAAGTGCTCTCGAAAAGATAGGCGGCCAAGGATATGCAAAATAAGTCACGGCGCGACGACGCGAGCATTCGCACGGTCGTGCGCGGCTCCCACTGCAATTGTTCTGAGCAACATCTTTTTCATTCCTCACCTCATCTCTGAGAAAGCGCTATCTTGCGTCTTCATCTCCTCTCATTTTCTCTCATCTTGCTGTCTGATCATACCCACTTTGTAGGATTCTCTTCATTTTTTCTCAAGCTGCGATCAATTTTGCGCTCCTGCATTCATTATACATACGTAGAGTGCTCTCACCTCAACAATTTGATCCAGGGGCGTGCCTCAAAATATCTGACCTGTTCTGGAGAAAGAGCTGCCAACTACACTTTACTAACGCCTAGGATTACATTGTGAACTGAGAAGCAAGAAACCGATGAAGTGTGATTTTTCAGCCTGTCGGGGTCGCCGGCTTCCCGTACTTGGTCATGGCGGCAATCGGATTTATCGATATTGTCTTCTTCCAATTCACACTACCTGAAACCAAAGGGCACCCGCTCCCAAGCGAGATGCCAGCGAAGAAGAAAAAAGTTACCATCGAAAGCATGAAACTCATGAACAGAGCATAACAGCAATTTATTTAGAGAGCAAATATGATCAATATAATAAAGTTCGAAATTTATGATGGTTCACTCAGGACGGGCCATCGAAGATCATAGCATTGCAGTTTGGTGAAGTACAATGGAATATCCCATCAGAAACGAAATAAACTCGTTTCCAGGATCGTCCTTACTGCGAACACCGTGGGAAATAACAGTGCCGTTGCTCGTTGGTCATATTAAGGTAAAATCTTGTCGTAGGCTTCATACCAGTGGATGGGTTCCGCAATCAGTAGTTCAATTCAAAGCGAGAAACTGCCAGCCGAGCACCGAGTCCACTCACTTTTTTCACTTGCTTTACCATCTCTATAGTTGGGGTTGAATCAAAGGAAGAAGAACAAAACAAGGCCCACGACTGTGTTCGCGCTTCCGTGGCGCAATAGGCAGCGCGTTCGGCTGTTAACCGAAAGGTTGGTGGTTCGAGCCCACCCGGGAGCGAGACTTTTGCACACCGGGTATTCGTCGCGTAGACA